TAGGCTCCTAAGCAACACAGAAAATCCCTGTCTCGAAAAACAAAACAAAAAAAGAAAACAAACCAAAAAAATGGGTTGGTTGTGGCTTTTTTGGCACATACCTTTAACCCTAGTGCTCCAGAGGCAGAGGCACACAGACTTGTGAATTGGAGGCAGCCTGGTCTATAGAGCTAGTTACAGGATATCCAGAGCTGTTATACAGAGAAACCTTGATGGTTTTTTTTTGCAGGAGCCCATTGTGGGTAGTACATTCCTTTGTGAGTAGGGCTTGGCTGTCAAAAATCAGCTAGCAGAGCAAGCCACTGGGAACCAAAACAGTAAGGAGCAAATTTCCAGTTTTTTTCTGCTTCATGCTTCTGCCTTAGTTTCACTCAGTGAAGAGCTCTAACCTGTAGGCTAAAATAAACTCTTGCTTTTCGAAGTGGAAATTGGTCATGCTGTTTATCAGAAAAACGGAAAGCCAAGTAGAAAGTAGGGTACACTTTGGTTAGTGTTATTTGTTCTGAGACCTGATATATGAACCAATCTCCAGTTAGAGATCGACCAGTGGTCAATTGGATATAGGTTTTCATTCTTCAGATACACCAGAAAAGCATAAGCCAGAGGGTGCCAAGAGGCCGCAAAGCAAGGAGGGCAGAGTGAGCGAGTACCCATGTGTCTGCAGCTCTTGAAGAACCTATTGAAATGGCACACCTGTAGCCAGCTCTTAGGAGGCGTGGTTATGGTGTCTCCCTTCAATCTCACACAGGAATTATATATAACTCTATTATTATTCTATGGGCATAGAGAGATGGTTCATCTGTGAAGAGCACTGGCCCCTCTTGTGGAGGACACGGGGTTCAATTCCCAGCACCCACAATGCAGCTCACACCTGTTTTAAGATATTAGTTGAAAGTGTGTTACATTCTTTTATGCTGTAGAACATTTGTTTGATGATGTAAAGATATGTTACATTCTTTCATGTTGCATTTGTTTAATTCAGTGAATCTGTGTTACTTTGCCTACCTAGCACCACTGAATGATCTAATAAAGAGCTGAACTCTCAATAGATGGGTAAAAGAAGGAAGGGAAAGAGGAAAAGGGAAGGGGGGAAAGCGGGGGAGAGAAACCCCCAGCCACAGAGCCAGCCATCGAGAAAGAAGCAAAGAAAGAGATAGAGAAAAGTAAAAGCCCAGAGGCACATGGTAGTATTTTTTTTAAATATTTATTGATTTTGGGTTGAGAGAGGTCCTAGAGATTATGAGCGCTTGCTGCTCTTCCAGGGGTCTTGAGGCTATGCTTTGGTGGAGCACACCTTTAATCTCAGCACTCGGGAGACAGAGGCAGGGGTTTGTCTGTGATTTCGAGCCCAGCCTGGTCTCCAGAGCCTGGGCTAAGATAGGCTCCAAAGCTACACAGTGAAAACCTGTAGTGAAAAACAAAACAAAAAGAAAACAAAACAAAATAGGGGTGGGTTGGGGCTGTGTTGGCACATACCTTTAACCCTAGTGCTCCAGAGGCAGAGGCACACAGACGTATGAGTTGGAGTTCAGCCTGGTCTACAGAGCTAGTTGCAGGACATCCAGAGCTGTTATACAGAGAAACCTTGATGATTTTTTTGTTGCAGCAGCCCATTGTGGGTAGTACATTCCTTTGTGAGTAGGGCTTGGCTGTCTAAATCAGCTAGCAGAGCAAGCCACTGGGAACCAAAACAGTAAGGAGCAAATTTCCCGTCTTTTTTGGCTTCAGGCTTCTGCCTTGGTTTCACTCAGTGAAGACCTCTAACCTGTAGGGTAAAATAAACTCTTGCTTCCTGAATTCGACTTTGGTCATGCTGTTTATCCCAGTAACGGAAAGCCAAGTAGAAAATTGGTTACACTTTGGTCAGTGGTATTTGTTCTGAGACCTGAAAGATGAACCAATCTCCAGTTTGCGATTGACCAGTGGTCAATTGGATATAGGTTTTCTTTATTCAGATACACCAGAAAAGCACAAGCCAGAGGGTGCCCAGAGGCAGCAAAGCATGGAAGCCAGAGAGAGCAGGTCCCCTTGAGTCTGTAGCCCTTTAAGAACCTATTCTGACCTGCCCTTGACCATGCCCTGAGAGGTGTGATCAAGCACATCCGTAGCCAGCCCTTAGGAGGCATGGTTACGGTGTGTCCCTACAATCTCCTCCAGATATTGTATATATAATATATTATTATTCTATGGGCTTGGAGAGATGGTTTAGCCGTGAAGAGTACCGGCCCCTCTTGCGGATAACACTGGATTCATTTCCCAGCACTCACATGGCAGCTCACCTCTGTTGTGGGATATTAGTTGTATGTATGTTACATCTTTTATGCTGTAATACATTTGTTTGATGTTGTAAAGATGTTTTACTTTCTTTTATGTTGCATTTGTTTAACTCAGTGAAGCTATAGTAATTTGCCTATCTAACATAACTGACTCATCTTATAAAGACCTGAACTGTCAACTGCTCTTCAGCAGAGAATGATAGACAGGATTGTTGGGCAGAGAGAATAAACAGAAGAGAGTAAAAGGAAAGGAGGAGAAAAGGGGGAGAGAGAACAGCAGCCACACAGCCAGCAATGGAGTAAGAAGGAAAGAAAGAGAGAGAGAATAGTAAAAGCCCAGAGGCAGAAAGTAGTTTTTTTTTTTTGTTTTTTGTTTTTTTTTTCTTTTTTTAAGATTTATTGATATAGGGCTGGAGAGATGTCTCAGAGGTTAAGATTACTGGCTGCTCTTCCAGGGTTTCTGTGGCTGGGCGTTGGTGGTACACTCCTTTAATCCCAGCACTCGGGAGACAGAGGCAGGTGTTTGTCTGTGAGTTCGAGGCCAGCCTGGTCTCCAGAGTGATAGCCAGGTTAGGCTCGAAAGCTACACTGAGATGCCCTTTCTCGAAAAACAAGACAAAAGGAAACAAAACAATAAATGGTGTGGGGTGGGGTCGTGCTGTGGTGGTTCATACCTTTATCAGGGTTACAATATATTACATTAAGTCCATAACTTCCTACTTTTTTGAGACCTGTGAGTGCTTGCATGGTATAAATCATATTTGATGCAATTTGTAGTCTTCTGTTGATTGGTCGTTTGTGGTGTACCGCCAGTTGGAATCCTTCCAAGATGGATATTGACTAGGGAAAGAAGTTAAAGTTAAAGAAATTACACAAACTTTTTCATTTGGAATTTCCCACTCTGGAATAGTCCAGGTCCAAAGATGAACCCTATAAACCCAGCTTAGAAGAAGACAACCTGTGTACACATCAAAAATCTTGCTTTAATTAATTGCATGCTTTCATTAATTTGGTCATGAAGATTTAGGTCAGTCGTGCATCTCTTCCTATCTTCAGGATTATTTATCAACCCAAAACATGTGAAGGGCCCTTGTTTCATACATGTCTGTTTCCTCACAATGACAAGACACTGTGGATTTCATAATAAAATTGGACATCCCTCATCTAGCAGTTCTATATTAGGTGAGATAATTTTCCCCCTGACTTCTGTTAAAGTGATTTAATTACTTTTATTCTTTTTGCATTTTGTAAAAATTTGTGACCCAATAATCCTGTATCTTTCTACTACCCTAAAGTGAAATATATCAATACAGAGTCAGGTAAAGATGTAAAGATATTTATTTAGGAGAGCCCTAATTACTCAGAACAGCCTGGACAGCCAGCAGGCAGCAAGGAAAGTAGAAGGAGGGGTTCCACGTGCATGTCCCTCACTCTTAAACCTTCCTCATGTCACTCTGACCCTCCCCAATG